GAACACAGGTGCCCACCACAACACCTGGTTATTTTTTGGTTGCAGCCATCATTGTTGTTTGGCGGGCCCAGGCTGGATTCAAACCCACCACCTTAGGTGTATGTGGCTGGCGCCTTAGCCGCTTGAGCCACAGGTGCCGAGCCAAGCGAGTCTCTTGCCTCAGCCTCCCAAATAGCTGGGACTATAGGCGCCTGCCATAACACCCGACTATTTTTGTTGTTGTTGTAGTTGTTGTTGTTGTTTGGCAGGCGTGGGCTGGATTCGAACTTGCCAGCTCTGGTGTATGTGGCTGGCACCTTAGTTGCTTGAGCTATAGGTGCTGAACCCAGGACACTCATTTAGATAACACACTATAAACTTATGTACAGTGAATCTATGTGCCATCTTCATAATTTCAGCATATCTTAGTATTAAAAATACATATTTCCTGATAGATTTCTGTGCTCAAAGTGCTAAACACTCCTGAGTGCTTTCAGGTGTGTTATATAATTTAATCCTTACACTGTCATCTCTGTTTTATACATGAATAAATTAAAGCTTGGGGCGATTAAATAACTTGTGCCCCAATGACCTGATTCTAAGATTGATCTGTGTTATTAATGGCTATGCTAGAATGAATATCACCGATGTCACGATACAGTTATTTACCTGATATTCCTCCTCAGTTAACTGGGCTTTGTTAGTCTCATCCAAGGGAGTAATATCAGCGAGATCCTGGGGCTTTTTAAAAATTAAAATATTACTTTTGAGATCCTTATAGATTCATACACAGATGTAAGAACTAATACAAGGAGGGTCTGTGCATTCTATCCAGTTTCCTCAAATAGTAACATCTTGCAAAACTGTGGTACATTGTCACAACCAGAATATTGACACTGATACGGTCAAGATACAAAACAAGAAAGTTTCCATAACTACCAGGATCTTTCATGTTTTATAGCCACAGTCACTTCTTGCTTGTCCTTACCTTCTTAATTTTGAAAACAATTAATTTGTCCTCCATTTGCATAATTTTTGTCCTTTCAAGAATATATGAATGGAATGAAATAGTGTGTAATATTTCTTTCTTTCTTTCTTTCTTTTGAAACAGAGTCTTACTTTGTCACCCTTAGTAAAGTGCTGTAGCATCACAGCTCACAGCAACCTCAAACTCTTGGGCTCAAGTGATTCTCTTGCCTCAGCCTCCCAAGAAGCTGGGACGCCTGACAGGCTTATACCACAATGCCTGGATATTTTTTATTGCAGTTGTCATTGTTGTTTTAGCTGGCCTGGGGGTGGGTTTGAACTGGCCAGCCTTGGTGTATGTGGCTGGTGCTGTAACCACTGTGTTTTGGGTATCTAGTCCTATACTGTATTTGTTTTAATTGCTGAGGAATATACCATGATATAGATGTACATGCTCTATTGAATCATTCACAAGTTGGCCAATTGGGTTGTTTCCAGTTTGGAGCTATAAGAAATAAAGCTGCTATAAACATTTGTACATGGGTTTGTGTAAACATAAATCTTCAATTCTCTGGGTGAAATCTCAGGTTTTATAGTATATTATGCTGTTATATTATATTTATATTACGTATATTTCTAATATGGAGTAAAACAAAATCATAACTATTAAAACTGTTCTTTATATGCTATCCAAAACATTTTCTGTGGCACCAGTAGCAGTACTACCCTCCAAAAAAACATCATTCTAAATGGAACCTAAATCATTCAGCTTTCTCTGTAATTACACATAGAAATAGCTAGTGAGAGCTTAGGCACTCAAGTTAAATGGTCTTGGTTCAACTCAGAGCCACAGTTCCTGACCGTGTGACCTTGAGCATGTTATTTAATCTCTATAAGCTTTGCTTTTCTTCTTTGAAAATGGGTATAGTCTTCTCAGAATTGTGAGAATAAAAGGAATAATTCGTGTTTGGAACCTAATAAAGCATTCAATAAATGATGCTTTTATTACCATATGAACCAAATCTGCATGGAGAAAATGTAAAGGGCAAAGCAGCACATGCTGAAGGCAAAAGAAAGAAGACCTCGGGGCTGGCAGCCTCGCTTCTGAGACCAAGGATGGAATTCTGCAAATTGCACACACACACACACACACGTTTAGGGGGTGCTATGCACATTTAGTCCTTAGAGTTGTGTACAGTTTTTTTTTTTTTTTTAGACAGAGTCTCCCTTTTGTCACCCTTGGTAGAGTGCTGTGGTGTCACAGCTCAAAGCAACCTCCAACTCGGGCTTAAGAGATTCTCTTGCCTCAGCCTCCCAAGTAGCTGGAACTACAGGCGCCCACCAAAACGTCCAGCTATTTTTTTTGTTGCAGTTGTCACTGCTGTTTTAGCTGGCCAGGGCTGGGTTAGAACCTGCCACCCTGGGTATATGGGGCTGGCGCCCTACCGACTGAGCCACAGCTACCGCCTGAGATGTGTACAGTTACAGCAATAATTTTCTGGCAGATGGCAGTAAAGTGTCCTGAGGAAGGAGTGCCATTTCCTAATTTGCCCAAAGATAATTTATGAATTTTTATAGAATTAATCTTCCACGAGCGTCTCTGAGATTCTTAATGATTTTAATCTTTAAAATAATTTCTACTACTATAAACATGTACACACATAAAACTCCAGAAATCCAATTTCAGGTGGTTTAGGAATCTTCAAAGGTCATCCATGTAACGCCTTGGGTAAAACCCCAGTACTTATCAGTCTCTTTATCTCTACTCTGTGTCTCCCTCTCCCACCCTCCCCCTCTTCGTCCCTGATCTGTTCATAGCGTGATTTTAATCCATGGCCTGGCATTAGAACTGCTATAATTTCTAGAAGGAGAAGAACACTTTCATTTTTAAGTCTAAATATTTTTGTTGGTACTGAGTTTATTTGGTTATATTGCTTCCCTTTTGAGTGTCTATTTCTTATTGAAAGTAGAAATCTCTGCAATATTTTATTTTGTCCACTGAAGTTCAGAAGTTTGGTCTTTATACCTCAGGCCTCATGAAAACACCTCACTTCTCCATGTCTGAGCTGTAGCTCATGGACCCGGTATAAGAGAAAAGCCTAAAGAAATTGAAAAATAAATCACCACTCTGACTTTCCAAGTTAAAATATCTCATGTTTTTAATGTTTCATACCTGTTTTTATAGTTTTCTCCTTGATCTAAGAAAGTTTTAATATGATATTAAAGACGTATATACACGCGTGGAATATACTCAGATACTCACAGAGGACTTACTTCAGCAGCCAAAATTTCTGGGACCAGAAAAGAAAGCATTAGTTGAGGACTTATTTGAATTTTCAAATAATACTTTTTCCTGAGATGTCTAAAATCTGATGCTGAAATTTGAACTTAGTACTTATTTTAGTCTCATATGCCACATTAAAACTCAAATTGAGGTGGAAAGGAAAGGTTTTCTTGGTTACAATTAAGACTGTTCTGATCATAACATGAGTTTTGCACAGTAGTTCTAGGTTTTCTGATCCAACGCAGTACTTCCTCCCACCCCCAATCTGTAGAGAATCTTCATTTCTAAATGTAATGCTTAAAAAGAGGCTCTCCTTTTTCTAATTGTCACAGTGAATTTTATTCAATGCAAAAATCCCCAAACTCAGTCAACAGAAAAGAAAACTGAGTCCCCATCACATACCTTTCAATCCCTTTCCTTTTGAATGAGCCATTTTTCTTTTTGAGTTGCTGAAATCTTCGACAGTGGCCAACTTTTCCACAGGCAGCCTTAAAGGGTTCTAGTAGACATAGCTGAGGGCAGGCCATTGCTGTCAGCTTCTCGGGTAATAGCTGTTTTGGATTTCTTTGGCTCAGCTCTTTAGCTAACAGACTCCACAACAAAATCATCCAATTACTGAGTGCACTGTCAAGGTTTGGGATGTTTGGAGCAAGTATGTAGGAAATTTTTGTCGTCTTTTTCTTATTCACTTCCAGGTGTTAGAGACATAATTTGTGGGACTGGCCCAGTTTATAACTTCACAGAGGTCACCAGTGATTCATTTGACAGAGCTTTGTGAAATTCCAGGGTACTTTGTGGAAATTTTTGTAGATTCTTAGACAAGGCAATTACAGAAATAGCAATTTGATTGTCTGATCACTGCCATTTGGATAAGCAATAAAAACACCCAGACACCAATTGACCACCACATTTAATGTCTATGTTCGAATTCCAAAGGGGAAAGAACCTATAGGAATATCAATGATCTATTGATCAACAGAAGTTGAACTTGTTAGATCTCTCAGTTAGAGCTTGTGAATGCTCTCTTGTGCTGTGAGATACACATGAAAAGACCAGTAGTGTTTAGACGTCTCAAAGTATGCCCCAAGGGCTATTTTATTGCATCTTGGACTGTTGCAGTAGCCTCTCAAAACACACTGCTGACAAAGTTGAGGACCTGGCCGCCTGGGTTGGAACTTCTTACCACAAGATGGCAGCAGACACTAGGATTTATTCCAGTCACTGTGGCGCTGTGAGTGGGTCAGTCTGAAATAACTGGGCACTTAAGAAGGAAAAATCCTAAAAGATGTTGGGATATACAAGAATTACTCTGCTTTCTCTATTTGTATCTATCAGTAATCTGATTCACACTTCTCAAACTTCCTAGTGCACATGAATTGCGTAGGGATCTTCCTAAAATGCAGGTTTTCCAGTATATCTGGGGTAAGATCCAAGAATTTGCACTTCTAACAAACTTGCAGGTGACCCTGACGAGGCTGGCCTACAGAACTCACACTTGTAGTGAGGGTCTTGTATGTTCCTGTACACGTGGAAAGAGCTTTAAAATTGTTCAGGATGAAGTGTATGACGTGGAGGGGTTAAGAGAGTGTGTTTAGAAATTCCCCCTAGGTTCTTGCCCAGCTGTGTGACCTTAGTTCATTCACTTAATCCATCTGTGTCTGTTTTCTTATCTCTGAAGTGAGCATACTAACAGTGCTAGAACCGTGGTGGGTTTTTTGGTGATATTCCTGTGAAATAGAAATTGTGCTTTAGCAGGAAGTGAGACCCAGGAATGAACGTGTTAGGGCGCACCCACCACAGTGGGTGCAAACGCTCCTCTGTCCCAGGCTATGAGAAGCACTGAAACATACCGGACTTGAAACGCTGTGGCCAAGCTGGTGTGTGCTCCTATCCTACCTGTTTTTCCTTATCTGTTGAAATTTCCAGAACACAGTATATAATATGTACATAAATTAATGAATATATGAATGAGTACCTTCTTTAAACACAGGCCAGTATTTTTCGTGCAATTATTGATATTGCTGTCTTAATTCTACCGTATTCAGTCAGATATCTGGATTAGTAGCATTAATTTTATGTTAGGGAAAGCTGTTTTTTATTTGTGTGAGTTGTGTCTATGTTTGTGCATGTGTGCACGAGTCTCTGTGTATGTATGTTGTACTAAGCTCAAACATCTGTTGTTTTGACTTCTGTGAAAATATGGGTAGGTTCCCCAAAGTCCTGAAGCAGATGATGAAACTTGAAAGAGTGGGATGGGGAAAAGCATGTTGGGACACAGATGGAAATCAATTTTAAGGCGGGTCTCGATTTCAATGTTAGCTCTACCCTTTATAAGCTATGGGTTTGGGGGCAGGTGACGAAAGCTCTCTGAACTTCCATTTTCTTAGTTGTAAAATAAGAGTAATATCTGTTACCTCCCAGGGCTGTTTGGTCATTCAGTTATTCAACAAATATTTGAATGCTCACTGGTTGCTGGGCATTACCCCACACACCAAGGATATCACAACGAACAGTACACACAAAATCTCTGAACTAATATAACTTGAAATGCTGTGGAAAGGCTGAAGACAAACAAGAAAATTAAAAAATTCATTTCATCTAGTAGTAAATTCTATGAAGAAAATAAAAGAGGATGACAGGATGAGTGACTAAAGGACTTAAATGGGAAACAAGGAGAAGGATGTAGATGACAAGCTGGAGAAATATTCAGGGCTGAACTTGCTAAGTCCTACAGACCAAATTAAAGATATTGGTCTTGATCTTCAGAGCAACAAGAAGTTATTAACAGTTTTTAAGGTCCTAACCCATGCATATTTATTTTGGGAAGTGGGATTCAGCAGTGAAGAAAATGACTAGAATCTTTCCCTGAAATTACAATTTTAGTGGAGAACACAGACAGTAAACATGTTAACAAATAGATATATGGTTTCCCGCTACCAAAAAAGGAAACACAGTAGAAAGTGACTGGGAGTGGGCACTCTGCCCAAGTGCTCAAGAAAGACCTCTGGAAGAGGTAGCATTTCAGGTGAGAGACATTCAGTGATGAAAAGGAGATAAACTATGCTAAGATCTGCGAGAGGTATTTCAAACATGCAAAACTGCGTGAGCACGGGTTCAGTGATAAATGTGGACTAGGCATGTTTGAGAGCAGCACTGAGGTGGTGGGAACAGAGCTGGCAAGGGAGGGCATAGTGATGCATGTGTTTAAAAAAGATTGCTGTGTGCAGCTTGGAAAATACACTAGTGAGGAAATGTTGTGGTTGTTCAAAAGTCATTAGGAGGGCAATTAATTCAGGTTGGAGATGCAGGAATGAGACAGAAGTGCATGGATTTGGGCGGCACCTGTGGCTCCGTGAGTAGGGTGCCGGCCCCATATATTGAGGGTGGCGGGTTCAAACCTAGCCCCGGCCAAACTGCAACAACAAAAAAATAGCCGGGCATTGCGGTGGGCAGCTGTCGTCCCAGCTACTTGGGAGGCTGTGGCAAGAGAATCACCTAAGCCCAAGAGCTGGAGGTTGCTGTGAGCTATGATGCTACAGCACTCTAATGAGGGCAACAAAGTGAGACTCTGTCTTTAAAAAAAAAAAAAAAGAATTGCATGGATTCAGGAAATATTTAGGAAGTGTAATACTGAAATGAACTGGGTTCCAAGTGTACCAATGTAGTGGCTTTACTAAGGAGGAGCAGTGGTGCTATAGAGAAGGGCACCAATTTAAGAGTCCCCCATTAAGTCTACTTTTCTTTTAAACCATCCTTCACAGGACATTCCCTGGACATTCATAAATGTCCCTCTGAAAAGCCAAAAAACCAGCTGGAGCAGGGAAAAGTCTGGTCAAAACACCGTCTCCCGGCTCGGCGCCTGTGGCTCAACCGGCTAAGGCGCCAGCCACGTACACCTAAGGTGGCGGGTTCGAATCCCCAGCCCGGACCCGCCAAACAACAATGACGGCTGCAACCAAAGAATGGCCGGGCGTTGTGGCAGGCACCTGTGGTCCCAGCTACTTGGGAGGCGGAGGCAGGAGACTCGCTTGAGCCCAGGAGTTGGAGGTTGCTGTGAGCTGTAATGCCATGGCACTCTGCCCAGGGGGACAGCTTGAGGCTCTGTCTCAAAAAAAAAAAAGAAAAAAAACACCGTCTCCCTTGTTCTCAGCGTTATCCTTCCATTGGACATATCTGAGATTGCATAATCCTATTTAGGTAACCATGACAACAGTTGGCTCCTATGGAGATGGAAATTGATTGGAACTTTTCTTTTTTTTTTTTTTTTTGAGACAGAGCCTCAAGCTGTCCCCCTGGGTAGAGTGCCATGGCATCACAGCTCACAGCAACCTCCAACTCCTGGGCTCAAGCGAGTCTCCTGCCTCAGCCTCCCAAGTAGCTGGGACTACAGGCACTCGCCACAACGCCCGGCTATTTTTTGGTTGCAGCTGTCATTGTTGTTTTGGCGGGTCCGGGCTGGGGATTCGAACCCGCCTCCTTAGATGTACGTGGCTGGCGCCTTAGCCGGTTGAGCTATAGGTGCAGAGCCTTGATTGGAACTTCTAAGCAGGAATTGCAGATATGAATTCAAAGGAGCCAGGCAGGGAAATAAAAGCAGCAATGGGCAGGGTGTAATAGGGAGGGGTAGGAATTGTGGTAACCTGTAGAGAAATGGGCCAATCAAATGCTATTTCACTTCAAATCTTTAAGAAGCCTCTTGTGCATTTAAAAATGTGATCTGCAGGCCACATTTAGCCTATCAGACTAAATGATGTTTTATGTTAACTCTCCGTTCAGGTAGGTGTCTCCCATCAGTGATCCTAAAACTGATTCCCCTCCATCCCCAAGCTTTAACTTAAACTTAATCACAAGCATTCAATTGGCTCTTGGCCAAATATTAGGTGGTTTTTGCATCTTCTCACTCTCTGGTTGCATACTAACCTTACCTAGCAACTTGGAAGCTCTCTGCAAACTTGGTAAATGGAGATTCTATGTTTTGATGCCAAGTCAGGGTGTGGTAAACAACAGAGCCGGGCAGGATAATGCATTTTAGGCACAAAGTGAGTGAGTTTCCTGATGAGTTCTCCCAGAGTCAGTGATCATCCCATATTTATTTACCAGGATGTGGAAGATGCTTGCCTGTGGGCGGAATATGAATTAAGAGTTTTTTCAATACTATGCAGCCATAAAGAAAGATGGAGACTTTACGTCCTTCATGTTCACATGGATGGAGCTGGAAAATGTTCTTCTTATCAAAGTATCACAAAATGGAAGAAAAAGTATCCAATGTACACACCCATATTATGAAATTAATTTATACCTTTTATATGAAAGCTATAACCTAGTAACAGCTTAAGAATACGGGGAAGGGGGAGGGAGAGGGGCGAGGGGAATGGGTGGAGGGAGAGGGATTGGAGGGATCACTTCCCTGGTTTATCTTACAAGGGTACAAGTGAATCTTTCTAAGAGTAGAATTTGAACGTTTTAACACAATAACTAAGAAAATGACATGACGTCTATGTTAACCAGTTTGATGGAAGTGTTTTGGTGTGTGTGAAAACACCACACTGTACCCCAGAAGTACATTAATGTACATAGTTACCATTCAATAAAAAAAAAAGAAAGAAAGAAAAAAAAATTTCAATTCACCAAAAAAAAAGAGTTTTTTCAACTGGCTCTAGCAAATCTTCTTGGTAGAGCTTTTGCCCTTTTGAGAGAAGAAGGTATCACTTTACAGATCACTCATCAAGAACTGTCATGGGGACAGTGTGTCCTGGGTGCCTAGAGACAGGATGTTTCTTCTGAAAAGACTCCTCACCAAGGGAGTAAACTCCCTACAAGACAGCAAAGGCACCAGCTGGAGCAAAGTGTCTCTGAACAGGCAAGAGGTTTTCAAGTAAATCATGCCCTTTTTGCCTTTGCTTTTTGTGTTGGTTGCTGCCCCAGGTTAGTATTATTATTTTTAACTCATATATGTTTGGTAGCTGCTGTTTGGTTTGCTTTTGTTCTTTTTAGAAACTTCTCCAGTGTTGGTCTTTGAAGTTGTCAAGTACTCTGTGTCTGTACCACATTGGGAAGTTGACATTTCAATCAAAATATCCTCTCCTATGCAGCTGATGTGAGTGAGAATCAGTGCAAGTTCTTTGGAGAGCAATGTGGCAAAATCGACTAGTATCTGAAATCTGCCGTCTTAGAGCCAGTCTGCTACCTCCAGAAAATGATCCTATAGACATACACAATGATAGAAGGTTTATTTGTATATATAGTTTATCTGTAATAGCAAAAACTAGGGCTAGGCACAGTGCTTCATGCCTGTACTCCTAGCATTTTGGGAAGCAGAGGTGGGAGGATTGCTTGAAGCCAGGAATTTGAGACCTGCCTGAGCAAGAGCAAGACTCTCTTTCTACAAAAAATAGAAAACTAGCTAGGCATGGTGGCATATACTGCCTGGGAGACTGAGAGAGGCGAATCACTGAGCCCAGGAGTTGTTTTTTTTTTTTTGAGACAAAGTCTCACTATGTCACTCTTGGTAGAGTGCCATGGCATCACAACCCACAGCAACCTCAAACTCTTGGGCTCAAGCAATTCTCTTGCCTTAGCCTCCTAAGTAGCTGGGACTATAGCTACCTGCCACAACACCTGGCTATTTGTTGTAGTTGTCATTGTTGTTTAGCAGGCCCAGGTTGGGTTCGAACCCTCCAGCCCCAGAGTATGTGGCCGGTGCCCTAGCCACTGAGCTATGTGCACCAAGCCTGAGCCCAGGAGTGAGAGGTTACGTGAGCTATGATGACACTACTGCATGCCAGCCTGGGCAACAGAGTAAGACTCTGTCGACAAAACAAAAAGCCCACAAAACAACCCCCCCAAAAAACAAAAAAATCTGTAGGTAACCTGTATGTCTTCTATTTAACCAATTGAGAATTAAATTAAAGAAATGGCACTGTGTACATACCATGGATGTTGGAGTCACTAAAAAAAGGGCAGATCTTCATGTTCAAGTGTTTGTTCAAGGGGAATCTGTGATGTACTATGGAGTGGAGACAGATGCCCTAAAACTGTGAAACCAAGATTTCTTTTAAAACTCTACATTCACAAGAAAATTTTCATTGCATGAAAATTTCTTCAACATAACTGAAGATTTAACAGTGATTTTTTTCTGGAGAGGAAGTGGTAGGGCAGCAGAGCTGAGAAGGAATATGTAGATTTAATTTTTCTTTATATATATTATTATTTCACTTAGAAAAAGAATATGAACTATTTTACATTAAAAATGAACCCCATCCAAATTTTGAATGTGTAATACCATTGGCTTAAGTGATTTTTTGGTGATTATTGTATGAATTGATTTCATAAAATAATAAGTTCAACCATGTGCTTTAGCTTCTAGAATTGGGAAAGAGTCAAACTGTCATGATCACCAACAAAAAAATCGAGCAAAAGTTTAATTCTAAGAGTAAATGGTGGCTATCTTAAAACGGAAAGAAAAAATCTTTCTTTGCTATGATTTCCAGCTTCTTGGTTAGGCATGATTAGATTTGGTATTGCCGGAGGCAGAACCTGTGTGAAATGTTTGAGGAACAGAAAGGCTTATTGAGTGGACAGAGAGAGGGAGGACAAGAGTGATAGAGTCTGAAGCCAGACAAATGAAGAAGACCCATCACACGGGATCTGGAGGCCGGTACAGAAACTTGGCTTTCTGTTCCACACAAGAAGAGATGCTGTTAGAGGATTCCGAGAAAAGGAGTGATGTTACCCGATTTCAGTATGCATAGCTTAATCATGTAAAATGTGCTTACTGATGTTTTCTTACATAATCTAAATAACCCCTATATCTTTTTCTTTTGCTGCTGTAACAGATTGCCACAAACTTGGTGGTGCCTTAAAATAGCATGAATTATCTTGTCATTTCTGTGGTTAGAAACCTGACATGAATCTCACTAAGTAAAAGTCAAAGTGTTGGCAGGGCTGTGTTCCTTTCAGAGGGTCTAGGGGTGAATCTGTTTTCTTATCTTTTCCAGCTTCTAGAAGCAGCCCACATTTCTTGGTTGTGACCCCCTTTCTCCATTTTAAAAGTCAGCAACACTGCGTCTTTCTGATCATTCTTTTTTTTTTTTTTTTGTTTTGTTTTTTGAGACAGAGCCTCAAGCTGTCCCCCTGGGTAGAGTGCCGTGGCATTACAGCTCACAGCAACCTCCAACTCCTGGGCTCAAGCGAGTCTCCTGCCTCAGCCTCCCAAGTAGCTGGGACCACAGGCGCCCGCCACAACGCCCGGCTATTTTTTGGTTGCAGCCCTCATTGTTGTTTGGCGGGTCCGGGCTGGGGATTCGAACCCACCACCTTGGGTGTATGTGGCTGGCGCCTTAGCCGGTTGAGCCACAGGCGCCGAGCCTCTGATCATTCTTTATGTCTCTTTCTGACTCTTTGCCTCCCTCTTTCACTTTTAAGGGCCAAAATCCAGAGTGTTCCTTCCATCTCAAAATCCCAACTATAATCAACACTTGCAAGATCCCCTTTGCCACATTCACAGGTTCTGGGAGTTAGGAAGGGGACATCTTTGGGGGAGGACATTATTTTACCAAAACTCCCAATTGCAATTTCTTTGCTAAATAATCAGTCTTTCACCCCCAACATAGCCATGTATCCCTCATAGAATGTAAATTTCAGCCATAGAGAACAAGTTGCAAGGAAGATTTTGAAATGTGGTTCCAGAAGGTAGTCAATAAGCAGAAATTAAAAATATCCATTTATAAATATTATGGTCCAGAAACCATCAGATAATTTCTTAAACAGACATGCTATATATGTACACCATGGAATATTATGCAGCCTTGAAGAAAGATGGAGATTTTACCTCCTTCATGTTTACATGGATGGAGCTGGAAAATACTCTGCTTAGCAAAGTATCTCAAGAATGGAAGAAAAAGTATCCAATGTACTCAGTCCTACTATGAAACCAATTTATAGCTTTCATATGAAAGCTATAACCCAATTATAGCCCAAGAATATGGGGAAAGGGGAGAGGGAGGGGAGGGGAGGTGGAGGATGGTTGGTGGGAGAGAGATTGATGGGATCAGGCCTATGGTTCATCTTACAAGGGTACATGTGAATCTTTCTAAATGTAGAATATAAATGTCTTAACACAATAACTAAGAAAAAGACATGAAGACCATGTTAAGCAATTTGATGAAAAAATTTCAGATTGTATATAGAACCAACACACTGTACCTCATCACTGCATTAATGTACAGAGCTATGATTTAATAAAAAAAAAAAAAAGAAATGGTGGATGCCACCTAAAGTACACATTTAGAGGAGAAAGATGATTTATTTGTTCAGCAAAGAGGATGGTGAAAATATCTGACTGGAAAGAGGCTTGCAGCCGTCTTTAGAAACTAATCGATGAAGCTGGGAGAATTAGGAAAGGCTCCTTTGATGTAGACCAAAAAACCACATTAATTCATTAGTACTTAGTGTCAGAGGGCAACATAGCAAATCGGTGCAGGTGCTGAGGAGTGGGAGCCACCGGGCTGCCTGCCTGCAATGGCAAGAGAGAAGGGATGTGGGTGCAGCCCCGAGGGCATCTGCCTCGTTCCTCTCTCGGATACATCTCTCCTGTCAGTGTGAGTGCGCTTGGAATGGGAGCAAAGAAGCAGCCACGCGACTTTATTCATCCTTGTCCTACCTAATACTTGGCCTTCTGTAGCACTCAATAAAACCTCGAGTAACTAAATTGGAGTAGAAGTTTTAAGTTGATAGGGGAGAGGCAGTAGGACCTGAAATCAAGGCATTATCTTTTTCATTTCTTTCCTTCTTTCTTTCTTTCTTTCTTTCTTTCTTTCTTTCTTTCTTTCTTTCTTTCTTTCTTTCTTTCTTTCTCTCTCTCTCTCTCTCTCTTTCTTTCTTTCTCTCTCTCTTTGTTCCTTCCTTCCTTCTTTCTTTCTTTTATTTTTTTTAATACACAAGGAGTCTCTCTATTGCCCAGGCTGGTCTCAAACTTCCAGCTTCAGGGGATCCTTCTGCCACAGCCTCCCAAGGTGCTGGGAGGACAGGCATGAGCCACTGTGCCTGGTCTTCAGGCACTATATATATATATGTATATATTTTTTTTTACTGTCATTTGTTTTATTTATTTTTTATTTATTTATTTTTATTAAATCATAGCTGTATAGATTAATGCAATCATGGGGTACAAGGTACTGTTTTATATACAATTTGAAATGTTTTCATCAAACTGGTTAACATAGCCTCCATGGCATTTTCTTAGTTATTGTGTTAAGACATTTATATTCTACACCTAGTAAATTTCTCATGTGCCCTTGTAAGATGCACTGTAGGTGTGGTCCCACAAATTACCCTCCCTCCACCCATCCTGTCCCCTCCCCTCCCCTCCCTTCCCTCTCCCCTTTCCCTTTCTTCTTGGGCTTCATAAGAAAGCTATAAATTGGTTTCATAGTAGGGCTGAGTACATGGGATACTTTTTCTTCCATTTTTGAGATACTTTGCTAAGAAGAGTTATGTTCCAGCTCCATCCATGTAAACATGTAAGAGGTAAAGTCTCCATCTTTCTTTAAGGCTGCATAATATTCCATGGTGTGCATATACCACAATTTATTAATCCATTCGTGGGTTGATAGGCACTTGGGCTTCTTCCATGACTTAGCAATTATGAATTGGGCTGCAATAAACATTCTGGTACAAATATCTTTGTGATAATGTGATTTCTGGTCTTCTGGATATAGTGGAGGAATTGTGGGATCGAACGGCAGGTCTATTTTTAGATTTCTAAGTGTTCTCCAAACATCTTTCCAAAAGGGATGTATTAGTTTGTATTCCCACCAGCAGTGTAGAAGTGTTCCCTTTTCTCCACATCCACACTAACATCTCTGGTTTGGGGATTTTGTGATGTGGGCTAATCTTACTGGAGTTAGATGATATCTCAAAGTAGTTTTGATTTGCATTTCTCTGATGATTAAGGATGATGAGCATTTTTTTTGTATGTCCGTAGGCTGTGCACAGGCACTATCTTAATCTTTGCTTTTTCTGAAGAAGTTCTAAGAGTCTAAATTTAGTCACCCTGAGCTAAAATCTTCATTGTAAAGAAAAGGCTCAATGGAAATTAAGGGGAGCAGAGAACAAATAAAAGAGAAAGAAGGAAAGAGAGAAAAATAGAATCAAAGTAGGCCAGCTCAGTAGAGCGCATAATGAGTTTTTGTCTCTGAATGCATTGTGACTTTGAGCACTGAGTAATTTCCTGACACCAAAGGGTTAGACAGAAGTTGTATGGAATAATGTCATTTAGGGAACTATTTTTATCCATATCTCATCTCATGCATCATGTCTAATAAAACATATAATGAATTGATGTAAAAAGAAATCTTACATTTTTCTATGAGATTGAATGGCAAATCTTTATTAAAGATAATGACCAATAGTCTAAATCTTTTCTCTTAAATAACAATGGTCTGCTCCCCAACTGGTTTAGCCAGAGAGGCTTCTTCTTTGGCTAAAGCAGGTGAGAAGCTGAACCAAGTGGCAGTTAACTTATGGCTTCAGAGAAGATGAGCTGCTTACATAGGTGGCCATGTGGCTGGTAAGAGGTAGAACTGGGATCTGAATCCAGGTCTGCTAGACTCAAAGTCCATTCCTCATGTGGTTTCTGTCCTTCCTCCCCAGAGCTCTCTCTTAGTTGGGTAAGGGCTTTTCACAAATTTTGACATTCTGAGGTTTTGCATTTCCCCCTTTTCTCCCTGAAGAAATACCTCTGAATCACAAAATCATCTCAATCATTTTAAGAACATGTGATTTCTATCTAGCATGTTTTGGGCTTGAATCCTGATTCTACTATTGATTATCTCTTTAACACTTGGGTGTCTCTGCTTCAGTTTTCTTATGTGCAAAATGGAAGTGATAATAATAGTACCGCTCATCCCAGGGGTGTTGTGAGAATTAAATGAAAAAAATCTGTGTAGGAGAATGTCCTATGAATAGCCATTAATATTATTTATTATTCATTCAACAGATATGTATGGGGTACTCTTATTCAGTTATCAAAGCAATACATATTCCTTGTAGTTAGAGTTTACATTTTCCCTAGGGAGCCACACAAGCGAAAGGCAATTTGAATGCAATGTGTCAAATGTGATGATACAGTGACATGAAACCACTGAAGAGGAAACCTAAGCAAACTTAGGCAGGCCAGGGAAGGCTTTCTGAAGAAAGTGCAGGTAATGTCTAAGGGGCTGCTAAAGGATAGGTAGAATTTTAGTAAGTGAAAAAATGCTTTAGAAACACTATACAGTAGCACCTCCACAGTTGACCACCTCCTTAAGCTGACCTAATTTTCATAGTCTGGACATGCACCACATGTACATATCAGTATAGTAGGCCAAGTTCCCTATGTTGACCACCTCCATATGTTCACCAGTTTGTTGTAGTCCCTTGGGTGGTCAATGCACAGAGGTTATTCATACATAATTGTCCAGAGGTGGGTTAGAGAAATGGAAAGAAGTTCAGGATATTGGTCAGAGTATGTGAAAAGGAGAATACGGAGAGATTAAGCCAGAGCAGTGAGCAGGCACCAGCTGTGGCAGGGATGGAGGGAGGCCTTTCCACACTTCAGCGTCAATCTGCATGAACTGAGAGCTGCCTGATTCCTCTGACGATATCCTCTTACTGGGAGTGGCCAGTATAATATTCCTTATGTTTGGCTGCACATTGTAAAAATAATTACATCACATTGCTTTATTTAGGATACTCTTGGAAGCAGACCACAAAGAAGGGTTCAAGTACAACTACTAATTCATTTGGGAGTTGTTTCTAGGAAACACCAGGAGGGGGATAAAGAAGTGAGACAATAAGTGAGAGGCAATGGGTAAAGGAGGGGTTGGCGAATATGTTAGTGCTGGAACAACCAGAGCTCTATTCCACTGGAGAACTCAGGGATCCTTTAAAGTGGAGGCATATCTCAGCTTTGCCCACACTGAAGGCTGAGGAAGTCGAGGTGTTGGCTGTTGGTTAAGGACAGCTTCCAGAGGCCTTAACTCTCTGGCACTCTGGCTTGTACTTTGTGTAGGTCAAGCTGCTCCCCAGCAGAGTTGTAGGTGTTCTCAGTAAGTAGCCTTCCCCATGTAGAAGTGAGGATGCAGGGAGGGTGGGCAGGGCTCTGAGCATCTGCTACACATATTTTTATTTTTATTCATATTTATTTATTTATTTATTGAAGACAGAATCTCACCTTCTGCCCTGGGTAGAGTACTGTGGCATCCTAGCTACACATATTTTTAAAAGTTTGACAAAAAGACAGAAAGACCAACCCTTGCTGGGAGACAGTTCTCCATGGGTCTCTTGTATTTTTGCACATCTTATGAGCAGAGGTACTGGCTGCCTTTGTCCTGGACTATTTTTTCAAGGATATTTAAGTAGTAATAGAGAAATTATCTCTCTTTGGAGAAGAGGATAGTTTCTTTATCATTCAGAATAATAGAGTTATTTTGTACCTCCAGGGCAAAGATCAGGCAGGCTTACTACCCACTTTGAAAGATTTGTATTCTCTAAGCTTGGTGTTCCTTAAATGTGACACAAATACAAACCCAGAGCATGCATAGCATCCTAGGATATGTTGCCCTAATGAGGCTTGAGGAACAAGGGAAATGGATGTGAACATGAAGCATGATGGTTGCTGTGCCATGAGTAATAAAGTCCTTTGTCTCTGACCCAGAAGTCTCGTATCTTCTTCCAGCCCCCATGAAATTGTGGTAGGTTAACTTGTTAGCTTGCAAGTGGGGTAGATTCTCAGATTCTTAATGACCTTGCCAAGCTAACTCACCTGATTTCTAAAACTTCTAATAAAAAGGAACTTTAACTAATTATTGTACTTTTCCTTTATGGTTTTAAAATACAAAAGAAGTTGGGAAGGCCTTGCAGAAATTCTTATATTAAAAAAATAGCATTTTGTGTTTCCTTTAAGGTCTTCTAGCTTTTCCAAATTTTGCCATCGAGAATGCCAGTCCTCTTCCGGAAAATGTCTCTGCACATACACGGGTTGCCATAATCACTGTGTCTGCCTCACCTCATGTTTCTCTGGTTGGAGATCCTGTTATCATTAATGCAAATCCTGCAGTCCATCCATTTGTGCTGTCTCGGAGGTCCACACATCTGTGGGAAGTAAGTATGTAGGCAAACACCACTTAGCATCAAAAAAACTCTAAAGTGAAACTATCATCCTTTCACTCTGTACTCTCTACTGTATGTTATTAATTTAGAATCCACTCATTGGAACCTTATGATGTATTAAACACTCTAAAAAGCCTTGGGCAGGCTTGGCGCCTGTGGCTCAAGCGGCTAGCGCGCCAGCCACATACACCTGAGGTGGCGGGTTTGAATCTCCAGCCCGGGCCCGCCAAATAACAATGATGGCTGCAACCAAAAAATGGCCAGGCGTTGTGGTGGGCACCTGTGGTCCCAGCT